CAATCGTACAGTCGGTCATTCGGGCATTAATCGGGAAGCGATCTTCGCACATCCGAAGTTTGATTAAGTACGAATATTCTTTTGTTACACATTTTTGGTGAACGGACACGCTCGATGAGATAAAATCTACGGCCCTCCGGCCGTAGATTCCAAAAGAAACCAACAAAAAACAAGAACAAGACACAAGCTCGAGTACATGTAATTTACACAATAAGCTCACATAAAAGTAAATACCCCTAACGCATGGGAACCATACAGCATTAGAAATGCTTTATTCAGTGGCCATTGTTGTACAAATGCAAATGTACTCACTCAAGTTTTGTTCCAAGAACTTCTCGGTAAACTGTGAGATAGTGAGCATTGATTCAGTTGGTATCAAGTTTGCACCTACAGTATCTGCCACAGCAGTGCAGGGAGCCAGGTCAGGAGAGTCACTCACAATCTTATCAGTGCCATTGGCATTTTGTTCCGCTTCGCGTTCAAACTCTCCAGTGAGCATCAGTAAATGCTGTTTTCCAAACAAATGTTCTTTCTTATTGTGAGGGGAGCTGAAGAACTGGTTGCAGACCCTGCAGTATAATTCGTTAGAGTCATCTTCCTGCAAAAGCCACAGACAGAACAATGATTGAAACACAAACAGAAAACAAACAAAAACCGCTATAAAAGAAAAACAGCAACAGAGTCATTACTACGTGCATTAAATCAATTCCAACACGAGGAAGGAGTTACCAAACAGAGAATGTAGTCTACTAAAATGCCCATAATGTATGTACAACCGATGGTCAGGCCTGTTGCAAATTCAAAGGACAAGCCAGTCAAGAATGAAAGTTCACGACAGTTAAAGACAATTCAAACTGTTTTAATTCAAGAGAGTTCTGGAAAGAAAGAAAGAGAGGAAATCGCAGGCTACAAGAGTGACAGTCTGGAACCTTGACCAATTCTAGTAAAAACATTAACGTGTAGTCGATTCAAATTGTATGAGTACACGTGCATGTAGCATTAATCCAAATGCGGCAAAAGAATAAAAGTTGTATAGAGAATCTACCACACATTCACTTACCATTTGTTCGCTCAACAGTAAGCTCGACGGCACTTCCTCAGTAGTATCTACTCCTGAAATTGTCGCAACGAAGGAAATAAATATTTGTATATCCTGAATACGAACTCTCAGAAACCCACTATGTTACTTAATTTTGGCATGGCATTCAAGGCAATATTTACAGTAAAAAATACACGTTGGAGTTATCCAATAGTTAATAGTCAATATTTAAGGTAAAGGAAAAGCAATGAAGCTCAAATGACTGTTCGGTTTCGTTTGGAAAAGACGCAGACAGATAAGAGTCCAAATAGAATTTGACGACTGATAAAAAAAAAAAAACAAAAACAAAAAAACAAACAAAAAAACCAGAAAAACATTCAAACACACGTTTATTATGATTGTCCGACGTGATTTTATGTTCACTAAGCAATTAACCCTATCTGAAAAATATTGAAAGTACACGAATTAATCATTTTTCAATTTAAACGTTTACATAGAAGGCTTGCTACGAACTATTTTCCCAAGAAAGAGCAAAAGA